GGGTGTTAGGGTGGAAAGTGGGGTGGTTGAGGTTGTTGGAGGTCCGAAAAGTTTAGTCAAGCATGGCCAACAGTGGTGCAAGTCCCAGAACAAAACACCCCGACCGACATACCAACACATAAAACCGCATACACAACACGTGGCACACACACACACTTGTGTCTGGGCAAAGAAGACAGAGATGGGTTCGTGCAGAACCCCGGCTCGCTCTACCATGTCGTGGGTCGACCCCCAGTGTGTGGGACTGTCCTGCACCAGCTTCAATTCCGGCTTCGGTTTGGCGGGGTTGCCCTGCGCGTTCAGGGTCCGCTGAAGGCCCAAGAACTTCCCTGAGCGCTGCGGCGAGAAGCCTATCCACGACGCCATCTCTCTCGTAATCTTCAGCAACTTGCGGATGGCGGTCACAACGAGTGCTGCCTTCACTGCAAGGTTGATCACGTGTGCCAGGCATCTGCGCACATCACAAAACATTCATGGCGGAGAGAAAGGGAAGTGTGAGTACACATTGGCATAGATCCGAGAAACACTACCACTCTCAAGCCGCATAGGCCCACCCGCCTGTACTACAACCACAACATGTTCACATCACAGGAACGACGCACCCAGACTCCCTCATCGCACATCCCACGCACACTCCCTTTCGTACTGGAAGTGCATGTGCAAGTTTAAGAAGCACTGGCCACCACCCTCCTCCGACATCCACCTGAAAGCGGCAGTGTTGCTGGAGGCGTTGTCTGAGGTGAACCCAAAACAACACGTCTCCAACCTCCACTGCACCACAGTCTCCTCAACCACCCTCGCCATCTGCTTGCCCGTGTGACGCCCGTGAATCTCGCGGAATTCAAACACCATTGTGCGCAGCTGGTAATTCTCGTCGATCCAGTGACCCGTTACCACTAGCTACGCCCTGTTGTTGGGCGACGTCCACATGTCGATGGTGAACGACACCCTGCACCCCAGCTCCCCCTCCTTCGCGAGCATCTCCGCAATGGCTGACTGAAGAGCGGCAGCCGCATAGACCACTATATCGCGGGAAACCGTCCAGCGCGAGGGGATGAAGTTCTTCTGCGCGCAGTTGCGGTTTAGCAGGATGAGTAGCTCACGAAACTGGAGAGGGGTAGAGACAAGGGGGGAGAGAGGAGTAAACGTCAGGGGGATGGGATGAAAATAATATAGCACTGCACTGGGCCACACGCAAACAGTCAAAACACAAAGGGACAGACACGTCCACTAACCACATACTTGCCCAATCATGCATGGGATGGGATGGGGCACTTACACCCTCGGCCTCGACGATGCGGAAGCGGAGGTCGCAGGTGACCACCAGCTTCGTGATCGCCTGCCGTAGCTGCACCGAGGTCAGTTTGGTTGTCATCCACCGCTCCATCCCGCCTGACCCATGACCTCCACCAGTCGCCATCCCTTTCCCCTTGGCGAGCTGCGGCCAAGTCTTGGCATGTGGCCACTGATAGACGTAGCCATCCGGCACTCCCTTGTAGCCCCCACGTGGAAACGTCTTCCCTGGTGAGTGAACGGACGGGGTGTGGTAACGGTGATGCCACACATGCATGTGCGCAGTGTGGAAGCTCGCAAAGTGCCGCTCGCCGGGGGTTGTTGTGGATTGCTTCCACGAAATCCTGTCCGTGCAAATCTTGCACTAACGCTTATCGTCTGCCCCTAACGGTCCGAACATCATTACTTGCCACCGCGGCTTCCTATTACCCTTGCCATTCCCCTTACTACTCTCGGACCCTCCGTCCTCGTCTAGGAATTCGGGAGTGATCACACCCTCGCCCAAGGGCTCCCCAGTGAACGTGCAGGGATATGCCCGCTCCCTCAACTTGTTGGCCTTCTTCCTCTGCCTCGGCTCCCTAATGGTCACGGCCTTTCTCCCCCCCACCTTAACCCCCACGCTCCCTCCCCCTTCACGCACATGCTGTGATCCCGCCTCTGTCGCCGCCCTTCCACCACCCTCTCCCACCTCTTCCTCCCACCCCTCTGGCTCCAAACCTTCCATCTCGTGGTCTTCATCATCATCTCCCCCCTCCCCACCGCCATGCGTCTCTGGGTCCCACGCCGCCTCGCTGTCATCCTCGCTCCCCTCAGTGTCCTCCTCCTTCTCGCCCTCACCATCCTCCTCCTCATCCTCCTCCTCACTGCCGCTCTCCAGCTGCGTCGGCGTCTGCCCCGAAGGAGGGGGTCGAGGGCCGTCGTAACGGAAAGAGCGACGAGAGGTCGGCGCCGGTACGGTAAGCAATCCCCCAACGAAGATCGCGCCGGCTCCTCCCGGTCCATCCCCTACTCGCCCCTGCATAGGTCGTGGTGGAGATCCCGGTGCGCTGCCCTGAGCCCTGCCTGCACCTCGGCCTATGGATCCACCAGCCCTGGAAGCCATAACTCCGCCCTCGACCCTAAACCCTAAAACACCCTTCCTGCAACGGTAGCGTTGGATGGTGCCGCACGTTCCTAATGCCTGATCCGAATCCTACGGCGTAGGATACGCCCTACTTGAGCCCTTTACGAGATGCTCGCTGAACCTTACATAGTAACCCTAAACTCCCTACACTACGTTAAACCCTATGCATAGATCTATCTATCTAATGTCTGCTTACATTGCAAGTGTGCAGCGTGCACTTGCTTGCACCTAGAACAAGGAGGCTAGGGCGGCTGTGTGAGGGAGCGCTAAGGCGAAAACGACTTCTGGGTTTGACCTCACGAAATGAGCTCAAACACAAATTGGCCGCGACCTAAATCTGGTCGCGGCCAATTTTGACGCGAACATTTTTGGTGTTCGCGTGGCCCCCAAGTCGAACACGAACATGTTCGTGTTCGGCTTGGAGAGCCGAAATCCTGGGGCGAACGTCGAACATGTTCGGCCGAACACCGAACATGTTCGGCCCGAACCATTTAGGCAAAAAAAAATGCCTGTTCGGTTCGCCTCGAACATGTTCGAGGCGAACCGAACAGGCGTTCAGGATTTTGCTCATCCCTAGTCTTATCTCGTACACGGGCAAAATTGCTGGGGTTGTCTTGTATTTGGGACGATTTAGGGTGTCTTATAACTCTTATAAATGGAAAAAGAACTGTTTAGAAGATACCCCCTCGCTATAAGATTGCCCCTAACCTCTACACTGGCTTAACGCGTACACACAAATAGGTGTCTTATAATGAGGCGAGCTTGTCTATAAGAGACACCCGGATAATAGACAACCCCTGTCTATTATTCAACACTGTCTACTTACCGGGCAATGACGGTATTATACTCCTCACTCCTCTCATAAACTCCCTCCTTTCGTAAACCCCACTTCTGTCATGCCTCTATATTCCTCTCATGCCCCTAAACTCCTACCATACCCCCTCTGTTACTCCTCACTCCTCTTATACCCCCCACTCCTCTCATACCAGCCTCCTCTTGAATCCCCCACTCCTCATACATCCCCTCTTTTCATAACCTTCACTCCTTTCAAACCTCCACTCCTCTGATAAACCTGGTTCCTCTCATACCCCTCACTCCTCTCATACCCACCATACCTCTATGCCCCCCATTCCTCTCATACACCCCACTCACCTCATAACCACCACGATTCTATTACCAGCCATGCCTCTCATACCCCCCTCTCCACCCATCTCCCCACTCCTCCCATACCCCCAATTCCTCTCATGTCCCCAACTCCGTTTACACACCCCAATTATGTCATAGACCCCACTCCTCTCATACCCCCCACTCTTCCCAATCATTTTATTCCAAGTAGTCGCTGTTTCTTATGGTCTTGCTTTCTATGCATGCGCTCCTGCATTGAGCCTTTGGACTCCTCCACCATTGTCTCGTCCACTCCCTCCATGCACGATGGATATTTTGGATTAGAAGAACCTGTGCAAGAGCAAGATGCTTGCGCTAGACTTCTAGTGCTGTTTTGAAATTATAAAGCCTGTTCATAAAAAGTGCTACCGTACCGACCATAAGCTTGATAGATATTTGTGAATTGTGCATAGAAAAAGGGTGTCTTCGATTAGATCTCCTAGCCTGATTTGTCACTGACTGTGCTCACACGCGTGACATCTTCCAAGCTAACCAATTTGTAACATTTCTGATTAATTGCTCTCTATTCTAGATGAAAACACATCATTCAAACAAGGCACTGCAGATGGTTGTGAACCATTTTAATCTGGAACAGTGCAAGTTACTGTGTTGTGGAATGGATGGAGCATGCACAGTCCAAGGTTAATGAAATCTTTACTGATACAATTTGTAGTTTGAACCATAATGTATCCTTGCAGCTTGACTACAAACTCAGCCTTCAACCGCCAAGAAATCATGAACGTACGTTTATCATGGCAGGAAAAAAGGCAGGGAGGTGAGGAATCTGAATGCTAAGAAGTAGGGCACACTTTCTAATAATGTGCCTAACCTCTCATGAGAGCCAGTTCAGCATCGAGAGTCCCCTGCTCATTGTTCTGGGTGCCAATCTTGGCCTTGTGGCTGCTAAATATGGCTTGTTGGGGCTAAAGCGCCAATGGTACGTAGGTCAGTTGGTTGCTGACGGTAGGGTGGGGGAGGACTAAGGGTAGTGTGGGAGATTGTGGGTATCTCGTGTTTGTGGAAGGCATGGCCCTGCATCATACCTGCACCCACGACTGGCCTCAGATTGACATGAGGCTGACATGAGACTGACCAGAAACTGACCAAAAGACTGACCTGTGTTTGACCTTAGACTGACCTGATTTGACCTTATTTGACCTAAGGCCAACCTGAAACTGATACGAGACTGACCTGAAATTGACCTGAGTTTGACCTGAGTTTGACCTGAGAGTGACCTGAGAGTGACCTGAGAGTGGCCTGAAAGTGATATGAGACTCTCATTATGAGAGTTTCTAGAGCGATCTGAGTGTGACCTGAAAGTGACCTACGACTGACACAAAACCTTCTCCCCCCATGTACTTGACTGGCGAAGCTAAAGAAGGCATTGAACACAAAGGGCGTGCTACACGGGCCAGGGTTGTCAATCAAAAGGAAGAGGCAGATGGGCGCTGCACTGTGCTGCTCCTGACGTGTTGCTGGTGGGGGGCGTGAGGATGATGGTGCCATTGAATGGTTGCGCTGCTGCACCTGCCAGGGAGACTGCTGTTGTCTGTGATGATTTGGTTGAAGGGAGAATTGCAGGGTTATCCAGAGTGAGGCAAGGCAGATGGGTGCAAACGGAACGGAAGAAATATGCTTGGATGTAAATAAATCAACACCAGGAGTTCGAGAGGTTTCAATTGCGATGCAGCTGTAATGGTAACAATTACGAGGAATGAGCAGGGTATGCAACGCAATCAAAGGGCACAACAAGAGAGTGTCATCTGCTTCTTACACCAGATCACTCAGTCTCTCCCAAAACTTGTGTATACACACCACTGTAGGAGCACGAGGGCAGTCCGGCCTGGTTGTCGAAGTTGCTATCGCAGGTGTATACTGATTCCTGTACAGACTCACTGAAGGACCACATGCCATGCCCGCTGCACAGGGGTTGGCAATCCCCAGCAGCAACCCCACAGAACGCACCACACTCCTCTGCACTCCTCTGCTCCAAGTAGTCTCCAGGCGCCCGGGATGCGTTGAGCAGACAATGCTCAAAGGCGTTGCCAAGGTAGGTGTGGTTGGCCTCGGGCGGGATGATGGTCCCGTGGAAGAAGAAGTTGCGGTGGGTGTAGGGTAGGTAGGGCGGGAACTGGTTGGCTGCAGGTAGGGCGACAGGGGCAATGGCAGTCACCCTGTCACTGGTTGGCTGACATGTCACTGTAAAGAAGGGGGGGCGAGGGCAGGGAGAGCCAAGGCGAGGAGTGGGTGGGAAAATGGCGCATGAGCGGGGGTGTGACAAGAGTGGGTGAGAAGTGAACACGCACAGGGTGGTGCAGAGGAAAGATGCAGTGTTCTGTTGCAGATGAGCCTTGAACATACAGATAAACCATTCGACCAAAGGAAGGGGCTTGGTGTAACAAGCACTTTCAGTCCTATCTGTAGTCCTCCTTCCCAATCCAATGCTCTCTTAGAATGGGCTCTTTCAGGACCCCCTCAACACACCAAGGCAAGTAACAAATGGCACATGGCCCATTGGCACATGGGACCTGGGACATGGCAAATGGCACATGGTGCATGCCATATGCGATTCCCCCCATGCACGTGCAGCGTGACAAGGCTGGTCATATTGCGTGTGATGCCGTACACATCGCCAGAGAGGACGTTCCTGTTCAGGTAGCTGGAAGAAAGCACATCCGAAGACAACTCGTGAACGCGGCGTGCATGGCATGGCAGCACTTGGACTCCCATGAAGCAGGGTTGAGTGCGCTTCCTAAGGCCCTCAGCGGAGGTAGCATGGAGTGCTGTTGTTGCATGCAGTTGCGTTGCATTCAGCATGATTTCAACTACATGTCAAGGTTGGTAACTTGGATAAGTGTGATTGGACCAGACGCCAAGGGACACTGGATACAACAGCAAGCAGCCAGGGTGCACACACAAAAAGCCCAAGTTCTGAAGGAGAATGATCTGGGGACCGTGCCCCTGAGCCCCACACCCTCCAGCTACCTCAACCCACAGCGTGGAAGACGTCGTGTGCACACGTGATACATCACAGACTATGATGATGGAACGATAAGGGAGTCCTTGAGTGAACGAGAGAGAGAGCATTCTATTGCAGTCTGCATATGTCTTTAACACGCAATGTCTCAGTACCTTTCTGATGACTCTTGTCCTCAAAGCTACTGACATAGACTGATGCAAAGCCAAGGAGACTCGGAATCATACGTGCACAGGAGGTTGCACCAGCAACACACCAGGCAAGCAAGGCAAACACCAAGAGAGAAGCTACAGGGATGGGTTATGGTTGGCGAGATGTCAAGGTGACTCAGGGTTCCAATAGAGGGGCTAGGTTCCACCAATGTTTGACCGTGCCAGCTCCCTGTAAATACATGGCTTGATTAAACACTAGGTTGGGGATAAGAAAGGAGAGCATGATTTCAGCATGCTACACGTGTCTCCTATCGTGATGTGATAGGCCTGACAAGTAGCACGAGCGCTACAAACATCAGAGCGGACAAATGAGAGAGCTACCAGATAGTGGGTTTCGGCGAAATCCATTATCATAAACCACTGCCTCTGTCCTTAGGGCAGTGTCCTTATGAAGCAGGGGCCAAAACAGGGGAGTGGAGGTCCGTAGACTAAAATCTCGTTCTGGATCCATACACTATGTTTCGGCTGTACCCTGTGCACACAATGAATCGCTCACAAGCATAAAAAATTGTCTATGATTGTATGTTGAGCCCTAAAGCTATAATGATTGGTGTCAAGCGTCTATTCAAGACATTACTAAGGCTGGAGTACAGTAGGGAAAGAGGAATTTTCGGTGGAGCGGTGATTAGCCCAGAGATTGAAAAGAACACCGCATGCGCTCTCACAACTTGTGAGTCACAGTTCCACGAGCAGATTCTTGGCCCCATGCAGTGACAGAATGAACGGCGTACATACCGTACTCATGGTGACTGCATACATGCTCATGATGACTGCATACATCCTCATGATGACAGCATACATGCTCATGATGACTGCGTACATCCTCATGATGACTGCATACATGCTCATGATGACTGCATACATGCTCATGATGACTGCGTACATCCTCATGATGACTGCGTACATCCTCATGATGACTGCATACATGCTCATGATGACTGCGTACATCCTCATGATGACTGCATACATGCTCATGATGACTGCATACATGCTCATGATGACTGCATACATGCTCATGGTGACTGCATACGTGCTCATGGTGACTGCATACATACTCATGGTGACTGCATACATACTCATGATGACTGCATACATGCTCATGATGACTGCATACATACTCATGGTGACTGCATACATACTCATGGTGACTGCATACATACTCATGGTGACTGCATACATACTCATGGTGACTGCATACATACTCATGGTGACTGCATACATACTCATGGTGACTGCATACATACTCATGGTGACTGCATACATACTCATGGTGACTGCATACATACTCATGGTGACTGCATACATACTCATGGTGACTGCATACATACTCATGGTGACTGCATACATACTCATGGTGACTGCATACATACTCATGGTGACTGCATACATACTCATGGTGACTGCATACATACTCATGGTGACTGCATACATACTCATGGTGACTGCATACATACTCATGGTGACTGCATACATACTCATGGTGACTGCATACATACTCATGGTGACTGCATACATACTCATGGTGACTGCATACATACTCATGGTGACTGCATACATACTCATGGTGACTGCATACATACTCATGGTGACTACAAACATCAGAGCAGACAAATGAGAGAGCTACCAGATAGTGGGTTTCGGCGAAATCCATTATCATAAACCACTGCCTCTGTCCTTAGGGCAGTGTCCTTATGAAGCAGGGGCCAAAACGGGGGAGTGAAGGTCTGTAGACTAAAATCTCGTTCTGGATCCATACACTATGTTTCGGCTGTACCCTGTGCACACAATGAATTGCTCACAAGCATAAAAAATTGTCTATGATTGTATGTTGAACCCTACAGCTATAATGATTGGTGTCAAGCGTCTATTCAAGACATTACTAAGGCTGGAGTACGGTAGGGAAAGAGGAATTTTCGGTGGAGCGGTGATTAGCCCAGAGATTGAAAAGAACACCGCACGCGCTCTCACAACTTGTGAGTCACAGTTCCACGAGCAGATTCTTGGCCCCATGGAGTGACAGAATGAACGGCGTACATACCGTACTCATGGTGACTGCATACATGCTCATGATGACTGCATACATGCTCATGATGACTGCATACATGCTCATGATGTCTGCATACATGCTCATCAGTGTGGGTAGGGTGGAGATCTAATCAGGAATGGCGCCAGGGAAGTTGTTATTGTGCAGGTCGCTGCACGGCAGAGCACAGGATAGAGACAAATTCTTTTCAGTCGGCTAAAAAGCACAGAGCTTGTAGTCGACTCTAAGGCATAGCAGGGGAACAGAGGCAGTTGCATCGATCCATTTTAATCAATCTGACTTCTTTCAAGAGCTCGAGAAACATCCACATGGCCTAGGCGCGTAAGTCATATTGTTGAGGGCTGCAGCGTCACTTTATCAGACTCAAGGGGGCATTGCAACATCGTTATCTTGACAGGAGCGGAGCTTCACTGCCTTGCATGCAGCAAGGCGAGGAGGACAGTCAGAGCATGGCATGGCAAAAGAAGACCCGCATGGCGCTATGAGTGACGTGCAGATGCAACAGCCGGGTGGGCGAGGCAATAGGGTGGCTGACAGGATATCGAGGGTGGAGATGGTGCTGAGGGCAGACTGCTGTCCACAGTGAACCCGTTGACCGAAAGGCTCCTGCACATGGTTACAGGGAATGGAATGGACCACTGGCGATGCGTTATGTGCCCCACTGAGTGCTACGGACAACGAGATACACATGCATGGGATAGCCTTGGTAAAAGCAGAACCCAATATTCTTGCATGGTGCAGTGCTGAGTGCTAACGCACAAGAATGCATGCATGCACACAACGCCCTGTACATAGTCCGCGCTGCACCACAGCAATCCCCCTCCCATTCCTCTTTCAATATCTATCTGTTAGAATGTTGCATATGCTAGTTAATACTACTGTAAGTGATACACCCAATGTGGTACACTTTGGCTCAAGTAGCCCCAACCGATTTTGGTTGAGTGCTTCCCAACATTTTTGGACCGTATTTGTTGGGGGATCCCAAATAATGACTGGGCCATCCAATCAATTATTGCCCCCCCCCCCATCCCCCAATAATGTTGGCCAATCATTGCGTGGTCAACCTAATTGACCCACCAATGATGGTGTGGGCACTCATCCAATCTGCCCACCGTTTCCTTTCCTATGTTAACCTATCTCTCATTTATCACAATCATAACTTGAGACTCTTACACTCTGCACACGCAGTGGCCCCATGCCAGTACACCCGCAACCACTAACCCTCTACCCTCTTCGACCCAGTGACACCCCTCAGCAATTGAGCCTGCCCAGATCTCTCAGTGCAGTGGATATATTACAGTGTGGCGAGTTGGTTGAGGTGCGACAGATAAGGGACTCAGGCACGGATCAACTCAGCCAGTTCTGCGCAGATCACTCAAATCAGGTTGCTCAACAAGCTGATCAACTCAGCCGGTTCCTCCAGAGGACAGATGGTCAAGAAGGGATCCGAGAAAGGGAGAGAGCATGGGACTATCTGGCATGTGACACAAACTCATGCAATGAAACAGGGACAGAGCCAAGTAGTTGTGGGATGGATTAGGTAGGAGGGGTAAGGGTGGTACTGACAGGTAGGTGACACTGAAGGAGGTTGCTCATGTCATTTGGAGATGTTCAGATGATTCACTCTCGGCTTGCTGCATGCGTGGCGCACACATGGAGAAACAAGGGGATGGACGGGATACACGAAATGGGGTTGGATGGGGTTGGACGTATAAGGTTGGGGCAAGGAAAATGAACAATTAGGAGAGGGAGAGGGAGGGGAGACGTGGAAGGACTACAGATGGGGCAATGTACTGAGGTGAGGAGAGGGATGCCTGGGACGTTGATGGTGCGTCCCATCTGCCGCACTGCACACACGCACACATGACAAGACAGCATTCCGCGTTGCTTTTTCATCCGCCCTCGTCACAATCTTCCCTCTTATTTGTTCAGCACTCTCACTCTCAGTAGAGCCGCCCACCCGAACGCACCCCTGGGGCATAGCCAGTACCTGCACACGTTGCTGGCACGCCCCTGGCAAGCGGGCCGAGAGTACTCTGAAGGCACCCACATGCGCTGGAGCAGCACTCGCATGCGCTGGAGCAGCACTCACATGCGCTGGAGCAGCACTCGCATGCGCTGGAGCAGCACTCACATGCGCTGGAGCAGCACCCACATGCGCTGGAGCAGCACTCACATGCGCTGGAGCAGCACTCACATGCGCTGGAGCAGCACTCACATGCCTCACGTACCAGGGAGACGACGTTGCCTGCGAGCGTCGCATGCGACGCCCTGCACGGTGGAGCAGTCGCTGCTGGCCGACCACGCCTGCCAGCCGCCCCCAAGCTGCCCCCACACTGCCAGCACGTGCAAAACAGCTTGACTGCCAGCGAAGGCAGGAGAGGGTTGGACGCAGGGGGTGCAGCCGCGGGCTCACGGAGGTCAGCGGGCACGGTGGAGTGTGGGGGGAGGGAAGCAACGCGGGGAGGGGCATGGGGGCACGCAGGGACCGGAAGAGGGTTGTGCGACAGATGAGTGAGGGTTGTTGGGAGAGGGGATGAGAAGAGGGAGTGGAAGGAGGAAAGGGAGGGAAAGGAGGGAAGGCGGGGTGATAACAGGGTAGTAGCATAGGAAGGGGGGCATGGAGAGGCAAAGAGGGGGCAAGGAGAGTTGGAACGAGGAAGTTGAGGTGAGCTGTGCGTTCAGGAGGAGAGCGATTGATCGTTGCAGGACATGCGCAGCGGCTAGAGCGCTTCTGCGGAACGTGGTGAGAGAGAGTCACAGTGGCATTGGACAATCTCGCATCACCGCGCATCACCCCTGCATGTCACCTCCCCATACCGCCGCTTTATGCCCGCCCGCCCGCCCGGGCACACTCACAGTCTGCTGCCTGTATTTGCCGCGCCACCACCAGCGTGCAGCTGGCAGAAGCAAGTGAGCAGCAGCAGTGGGAGAAGTGGGAGCAGGAGATGGGTCTGCGTTTGGTAAGAACGGCAGGGGGGACGAAAGGGAAGGGGGAGTGGAGGGAATGAAACCGGGAGAGGGGAGGGGAAGGCAGAAGCGAGGCAGAAGGAGAGGGACGGGATGCAGGAGAGGGAGAGCAACCCACTCCCCATGACTATACCCCCCCATCTTCCCCCTCCCCCCCCCCCCCTCCCCCTCCTTTTCATTTCCTTCCCTCATATGCACCCCCTCGTGGCATATACCTGTCAGGGCTTTTTCCTTGCTTAGGTTGGCTGATGAAATCTTACCTTAGTTCTTTACGCTTGACTTTGCTGTACCACTTGTATTCAACGACAAGGATAGTTCGAGTGTTGGGGGGTGTGCATATGGGGCTGACTCAGTCGCTCTGCGCGATGATACACTGCGAGACGATACACAGTGTGACGATGCACTGAGCAACGATACACAGTGTGACGATGCACTGAGCAACGATACACAGTGTGACGATGCACTGAGCAACGATACACAGTGTGACGATGCACTGAGCAACGATACACAGTGTGACGATGCACTGAGCAACGATACACAGTGTGACGATGCACTGAGCAACGATACACAGTGTGACGATGCACTGAGCAACGATACACAGTGTGACGATGCACTGAGCAACGATACACAGTGTGACGATGCACTGAGCAACGATACACAGTGTGACGATGCACTGAGCAACGATACACAGTGTGACGATGCACTGAGCAACGATACACAGTGTGACGATGCACTGAGCAACGATACACAGTGTGACGATGCACTGAGCGACGATGCACAAAGCAACGATGCGCTCCCCAAGTGACGAGGCACACGCACATACGCGGCACGTCCGTAGGGGCGGCTTCACGGCACTTAGCTTCCCCACCGACGCAGCCCCCCTAGGCATCGTGTGCCGCCGCCAGGTCCGCAGTGCGCTCTGCGTGGGGGAATGAGCTCTCTCGTGCTCGCTGTCATGCCACTGGGAAAGCCCGCCGCCGCCGCTACAATGACGCCAATCCTACTAAGGTACGCGTGAAACGCCGCTGCGTGCTCGCCGTTCCGAGTGGCGCCACGGCAGGACGGGGCGAGCACGCGGACGAGCTGCGCTACGGTCATCCTCCTTTGCGTCCAAGCGCCAAACTAAACCACGGGTTTGGCCCCGGCCATATGCCACGCCATCAGCTCTCGGTGACTCAAGGAGCCGACAGCCACCTGACCGTGGCAAGCCACGGCTCCCAGTCAGCGCGCCGTAGCACTAGACGAGCGCGCGACCCGTTATGGTAGTAACACCGCTCTTACTTCCAGGCAGAAGAGGGAAGAGCATGCAGGTAGCGCATTCTCGAGAAATGCAAGCGGCGCAAGTGCGACTTACCGTTGCCTGCACGAATCCTACTGCTGCGTGACGTGGCGAAATGGCGGCGAGCAATGGTGGAATGGCGACGCGACGTATCGAAATGGCGGCGTGACATGGCAAAACGGGGGCGCGACATGCGGAATTGGCGTGACATGTTGAAATTGGCACCCATCACGACGACTGAACCTGGTAGAACCGACAGCGAAGCACAGCGACCAATTTTTAGACGCCTAAATAATACACCGACAACGCACAGCAGAGCGTACTACTTAAAGCCTCGAACGTGAAAACGAGTGTGTGTGTGGATTCTGGTTTGCTTTCCACTTGAACCGTGGCTCCTCAAGGCGATTAGGAGGGAGCATAAAGACCGCTGACACAGGTTGTTGCTTAGGCTCTATTTGCTGGAAGCAAACTTAGGATGGACAAATTTGTTCAGGTCCCTTCGGCATTGTGCGAAGCTCCGAACATTGCGAGGTTCCGAGCTCGCAATAAACTGGCCAAAAACTTACGATTGTCGAGGCAAAGGGTGTACGTCCGGATCGCCAGGCTCGGCTGGCGTTTTAGTTCCTAGGCGAGCCGTTTGGTGTGGGACGCGTGAAGTTCGGAGGTCTGTGCGTTCGGTTTACTTTCTGGTTTGGAGGCGACATTTTAGGGGTATTGTACGAATTCCCGAAGATGGTGGGGATCAGGCTCGGCCGATTTGACGAAGCCGAAGCTGATTCGCGTCGCTTCCGAGCCTTTTGTCCCTAGCCCAAACCTTGCCACGGAAATTTCGCCAAGCAAGTTAGTGCTCGTGTAAATGGAGGCTTGAATCCTTATCGTCGTTTCCATTTCTCTGTTCGATGGTCATTACAGCCTCCAACCCTAATTTTGAATCTTCTTGTGCCTACCTCACTTCCAGAAATCCACCTTCTCAAGCAGCTGTGCATCGATGGCGGTTTATAGTAGCTGTGCATGGAACCGTACCGGCTCTTTCCGTCCGCACCACGCATTGGTGGAATCGTCGCCAGCGTCTTCGTCACCGCCAATCCAATCTACCATGTGCACTCGCTCTCTATATTAGTTCTATCAATGGCCCCTGCTATCCTTTAATAGCTACCAATAGACATTATTTTCAAGTAGCAGCTACAGAAACGACCCGTCGTCGTGCCCATGTCGCCAGCTGCTACTACGTTGCGGCATTTCAGACTCGAGTCTACCTGATCCGATCATCGCTCTCCCCGCACCGCGCACTCCCGCCTTGCTCGGTGTGCAGCTCCCGCCGCTGCTGCTGCAAATGCTGCTGCGCACTCCCGCCTCGCGAGACGGCGCGCAGCTGCTGCTGCTGCTGGTGCTGCTGCTGCACTTGTGCGACGCCGCACAAGTGATTCAGCCTTCCTTCGGCGGTCCCTGTTGCCTGCTCAGGCAAATCGCGACACCCATTCGCGGGATTTCTGAGATAGGATGGTGACTCGGCCGCATGCACAGGCGGTGCAGCGAGGCTGCCTCGGTCTGTTTCGGGCCTTTCTCTGAGGCGTCGAAGGTGCTGTGGATTTCGTGGGGAGGGTTGCAAGGACGGAGTAGTGCTGATGGTAAGCTGCAGCTCTCTGTGTTTCGCTGGGTATTCCCCACATGGCGTCGCAGCAGCAAGACGTTTTGTCCGGTGCTTACATTAAAGATATTTACCAGTGACATGACAGATATGGGTTATTGGAGATTTCATGATGCATAAAGCAAAAAGCGAAGGGATGATGGTGCTGGGAAGATCGGATAGATTCAGGAGGTACAGTTGTCGCATGCCACATGGCACAGGTTGTTGAAGCGTCATTCTGCCATCCACGTGTTGCAACAATTACTGTCGCTGCGATTGGTTCCCTGCGCTCCTTTCTCCCTATTCAACTCGCCTTGTCTCTCCCATTCTGCTTCTCCCCCCTTCCCCCCCGTCACCCTCTACCCTCCCCTTTTTTCCGCTCATATTGTCCTCAATCCCCGCTTCTCTGCTCCCCCACAGGCTGTGGTCGAAATCACACACGCGAAAGTACAATTCAGATCCCGAGCTTCACATGGCAGCTCGCCAACTTCTCTTGTGGCTTCGGATGGACTTGTATGACGAAGGTGAGAGTCGGTGACGGGCCTGCTGGGTAGGGGCGTGTGTGGATGTCAATTGAGGAAGCGGTGAAAAGGGGGGGAGGAGTGGGAAGAAGGGGCGTGGAGGAAGGGGGGAGAAGGGACGGAAAGGGCGGGGGGAGGGGAGAGTGGGGGGGGAGGGGGTGCTTCCAGGGCTGGCAGAGGCCATAGAAGACGCCTGGGGGCTTGTTTGGTGGCAGCAGTTGACAAGCTAGAAATCGCCAAGGTTAGAAACATGTAGGGGCTTGGTTGGAAGTCGGTGCGCAGTGGGGGAGATGTGTGTAGGAACCACTCGGGTCACTCGTGGGTGGCGGTGGGAAGGGGGCAGTTGAATAGCTATCTCGGCGAGAGTTGCTGAGAGTCAGTCAAGAGTTGGCAAGGAGTCATTGTGAGTGGCTTTGGGATGGCTTTGATGTCAGTGGAGGGAGTTGATGGGCAGCATAGGTGAGCTGAAAGGATGGTTGCAGCCAAGAGTGAATCTCATCCCCCCATCCCCCCTGCAAAACCTCCTCTCCTTTTAAATTTCCAATTACGTCTTCCCAACCAACTCCCTATTGCAACCTCCCCCCATCTCATCCGCTCAGCACCGCATGTGTGTATGCCACACTGCATTTTGATCCCCTGAATTCTGCCCTTACCACACATGACATTTCTCGCTAATTCACTGCGTTCCCTACCACTTTCGCCTTTTCCCCTTGACCCTCTTTCCCCCTTCTCCCTTCCCCCCCAAAGCTCCGTTGCTCCTCCTCCACGGACCTACAGATTCACGCTTCTTTAGCACAGTCTCCCGCTTCCCTCCCTGCCCGCATCCTCCTCATCAAAGCACTGCTCCCCGCCTTTCTCCGCTTCCCCTTATCTCTGCGCCTACTTCTCCTTTAGGGACTTCCGGCCCACAGGTTTGCATCCTCACAGCACTGTCACTCACATCCCTCTCATTAGCCACTGCCCCTTTTCCTTTCTTCTCTTCCCCCCTCTCCACCCCAGCTCTGTGAGCGTTTGCGCTGCAGAGAGCGCTCACGAGGGGGCGGGGAATGGGGACTGCTGATGGGGCTGGCGGAGGCTATAGAGGATGTGTTTGGTGTTGAAGATGGCGGGGCGGTGGTACGGTGGATATATCGCCAACCCCACAGGTCAGAGCGGTGAGGGGTGGGTATTCGTGTGAAAGTTGGCCAAGGGGACGGTGAGTGGGGGTTTGTGAAAGGAGTGGGGGGGGGGGGCTGAAGGGGGGTGAAGGAGGGGTTGCTGCTGGGGCGGGCGGAGGTCATAGGTGATGCGATGGGTGTCACCAATGGGTGGAAGGGACCTGGGGGGAGTTAACAGGCTGGATAATGCCCGTGAATGTGTATTCCACATCGACTTGTGTGCCCCTGACATCTGCCCCTACCACACAAGAGGTTGCTGCCATGGCAGAGCTGCACGGGAGGCTGCAGGTGAAGCTGGGTGAGGCCCGGCTGCTGGGTTCCCCGTGGCGGTTTTTGAGGATGGCCGGGCAGAGGGAGGAGGAGGTGCGTCCGAAGTGAGCGAGGGGTGGTGGGCTGGGCTGTATGATGCTTCTGTGTCACTCGTAGATCACGGGTGAGGCGAAGCTGGTGGGAGGGGCGGCTGGGTCCCCCGTGGCGGTTTTTAGGAGTGACGAGCAGAGGGAGGAGGTGCGTTTGGGAGTGAGTGAGGGGTGGTGGGCTGGGCTGTTTGAAACTTGTTTGTCAATAGTGGGTCACGAACAGATTACGGGTGAGGCAAGGCTTGGTGGGCCTGCTGTTTTCCTTGTGGTCATGTCCTATCTCAGGGTAGAGCAGCGGGAGAAGGCGGTAGGTGGTGAGAGGAACGTAGTCTAAGGATGGTTCACCAGCAAGTCACCACTAGCAAGCTTGTTGCATGCCGTCAGTTTTCGAGGACGAGCAGATGAGGCGAGGTTAGGCAGGGCTACTGGGTTCCCAGGGTTGAGCAAAAGGTGAAGCCCAGGGCTGGTGAGGGGAGTATGATCCAGTTGTGGGGAGCACAGACGTGTGCTCATGCCGGAGTGGTTATCGGGACAGACTAGAAATCTGTTGGGCTCTGCCCGCGCAGGTTCGAATCCTGCTGAGCACGAGCTCGTTTGTGGTGTGATGGGTTTGCTGAGGAAACCGTGTTAATCTATGTTACACTTTTTTTTTTTTGTATCAGTATTGTTTTGCACTTCACAGTGCGACGTCACATCAAAGCACAGCGATTACTCTGATAACGTATTATTAATTGCCTAGTGGTCACCCTCTTTGTCTTGTTTTTGTGCTGTTCATTGGAAGAACTTGGGCATCACGATGCGACTGTCGCTCCACACAAGGCAGCGCGCTGGATCTGTGACGTCTGTCACACTAAAGTTTGTCGCACTGTCGTTTGTCGCACTGAGGTCTGACTCACTGGGGTGGGGTCTGTCGCTGAGGCAAGTCGCAGTCGCAGTGGGGTCTATTGCACTGAGTTCACTCACTTGAACTGGGGTCCCTCTATTGCTCGCATTAGGAGATAACTGCTCGCAGGTTGATCCATTGAGGCGCAAGGGGGAAAGAGGGGACGACAATCGATGTGCGAGTGGATTGGTCCGACAAAAACCTTGCTGCAGGTAGGATGGGAAATCACCATTGTTGAAGGGGAGAGGAGGGAACGAGGGGGATTCAGTGTGCACGTAGGTCGATCCGCACCGCACCACTCACTCCGTTCCCCATCCCGCTCTCTTCGCGCTTCTTTTGGCGCCTCGAAAGCCCCTTGCCTCCCCGCGTCCCGCATTCTGCTCCCCATTGCAATCGCTGTGCATAAAGACGTTACCCTAGATCCGTGCTCTTTGTTGCTCTTAAACCATTCCGTCTCACCAACCACTTTACTCACCCTGCTCCCCATCCTGCTCTATTCTCGTCCGCGTTGCTCGCAGCATCAGTCCCTGTCGCGTGCCCACGGCACCCACTTCGCTCCCCATCCTGCTCTATTCGTGCAACGCCTGTGGGGCTTATTTGTATGGTTGAGTGCTTCCCCTGCGCCTCAAGTATATCCAGTGGGTAACTCCCCCATCCGCTCCTTGTCCCTTGGCAACTTGTTCGAGCAAGGGGGAGGGCGAGTGGGCACGGGAGGTGGCGGCGGCGGTGGCGCTACGGTGGTTGGCAGCGCTGGGCGTGGACAGTGGGGAGGAGGGAGAGGGAGGGGAGGGCTAAGTTGACATTGTACGTTTACGCTGGTTTACGTTTACGCAACTTTACGAAGTAAACTTACGTTTCCGTACGCTTGCCTGATATGGGTTTACGTTTACGGTCAGCTAAAAAACTTTTCAAGCCTGCCCGGATAAAAAAAAGTCAATTCCGTTGACTCGATTCGCTATCAGCTTTGCGACAGATCTGCATGTTCGTCTCAATCTGAAACAGTTGACTCAACATACGACCCACACCTCACCCATCGCAACCAACTATTCTACGCACGGCTATTTCGTAAGCATACTACCAAGTCTTCCTCCCAGTCATTCGTAATCTAGAAGTCCAGTTTCCTAGTAGACGCAGTCGCGCGACCTAGTAAGGCTTTTAGATCCAGTCCGTAGTACCCAATACCTAACGCGACCTTAGTCCGTCCAATCGTTCGTGTCGTACTGCCCTTGTCATTCGCGTAATAAGACATAATCTCTGGTTATCGATCTTGCCCACAGAAATTCGAGGGTATTTTTTTTTTTTTTTACATCCTGCCCGTTCGACTTTACGTAATATTACGCGTAAGAAAACGTAAACGTAAAGGCATGCGTAAATGTACGTCTACGCGTCCCAAATGGACGTAAAGTACCAACTAAGGGGGAGGGGAAGGGGTAAGATGAGGGGGATGGGGAAGGATGAGGGGGAGGGGGAAGAAAAGAGCGCAAGGGAGAGGGGCAGCCACACTCGTGTCTGCACCTCCCAACCCCTCTCTCCGCCCCCACTGCCCTAATCTCACCTTCCTTCTCTTCCCCCCAAACCCCCCTTTTCTTGCCCTTCCTTCCCGCTTCCCCTCCCTCCTTGTTTCCCCATATCCCCCCTCCTACTCCTTGCTCTCCCTGTCGCACCACTCCGTGCCGCCGCCCGCCCAAGTGAGCCCTGCAGCACCCGTGCCCGCCTTCTACTCCTTCTTGGGGCCGCGCCTGGGCGACGCAAGCGCCGCGGGCAGCGCAGGTAGACTGGCGGCGGGTGCAGTGGAGCAGCAGGGTGAAGTGGGGGCAGGCAGATGGAGGAGTGAGAGGCAGCGAGCATGGGAGGGGGCAGCAGAGGGAGCGGGCGAGGAAAGGGAGGAGGAATGAGGAGTCAAGAGCAGCAGAGGGGACGCGGATACTGGCGGCCGTGGTGGTGCAGATGGTTGGGGGAGGGGGGGGGGGGGGGGGGGGGGGGGGGGGTGTCCAGCACGTTGCATTAGAAGTCGCTCTTCCCCTGCTCCTTAGGTGTTTCGCGCATGTGCGACTGCTGTGGCTGTCCCCCACGCAATGCCATATGACACCACGTGTCTGCAGTATCCGCAGCACCACTTTCTTCTCTGCTTCTCACATTCGTCCCACCAGCGCCTTGGCTCCCCTCTTTCTCCCCCCACTGCCTGTGTCAGGCCCGTTGCCTCAGCCTCTCCTCCGCACGCCTCGCACTAGCAGCATTAGCTCCTCTTTTGCGCGCCTCCCCTACACTACTGCCCCTGGGAGACGACTCGAGGGCAGCATGGGCAGGAGAATGGGAGGGAGGGGAGAGGGAAGAGGGGGGGGAGAGGGAAGAGGGGGGGGAGAGGGAAGAGGGGGGGGAGAAGGTGGGGGAGAAGGGGCGGGAGGGAGCATGAGCGGCAGTTTGATCAATACAGACATGCGCGCAGGCACAAGGCCGAAGGAGGGGGGGGGGGGGAGAAGGGGACAGGGGCACCCAGGCATGGAGGAATTGTGGCGGCCAGTAACAAGAACAGGCAGCATAGGCAGCACGGGAAGCACGGGAAGCAGAGGCAGCATGATTGAGAGGAGCGCGAGCATGGAGGAGGGGCGAGCACGGCTGCTGGCAGCTGATGCAGCACTCACGGATGCCATTCTCACGGGCGTGATCATGCCCACACCCACCTCCTCTTCCCTGGGCTTCCCCCAGTGCGCGCAGCATGGCAGCACCGCGACTGCCCATAATGGCGGTGGTGGTGGCATGGTGGGCAGCAGCGTGGATTGCACTCACAGCATCAGTGTAGTGTGGCGATCGGGCGGCGCAGCCTTGACAGCAGCAGCAGCAGCGTGTGCTGCAGAGACAGGGCAGCGTGGCACTCAATCGACAAGGTAGCATGTGGCACGGCGGCATGGGGCAGGGCGGCATGGGGCAGGGGGGCATGGGGCAAGGCGGCATGGGGCAGGGCGGCATGGGGGCACATCGAGAAGAGGTAAGCCATCCTATAGCTGTCCCAGTCGGCCTTCCGCATTGCAAGCCTTGCAAGCCTGGCTCGCAGCCTACAAATCGTTTTGCTCGTACTTTTTGTCATATCGGGCCAATGTGCCAAAACGAGTCAACCAACCTTGACCTGATTCGAGTCAAATTTCGATTCTACCGAACTCAGCCATCCGGCTCGAATCAACTCGCAAATCAACATTGACTCGACCTGCAAATGCGTTCCACTCACATTTTAGGAGTGCATTTGCTTGTGGTTTAAACTAGTAAGAATCTAATGCCCGGGCCGAGGAGGCTCTCACCAAGCTGCCAGGCTCGCCCCAGCCTTGCGACTCATGAGCCACCTCGTTCTAAACTCCCCCCGGGGGTAGTCCTCCAGGTCAGGGGATGGATTTAGCATGTCTTACGCTCCTCGCCAACCTCAACCAACGGAAAATCTTTGAAACTGAGGTCTTGAATGCATGCGATTTGGCTTGGAAAATGTGTAATAGAAAACCAGCACAGCCCGAGATGCTCTGGTTTTCTATCAGCCCCATGGTCTCAAGCTGACCCGAGTTGCGTGCGAGTCTACTTCAGGAATCTTCCTACTCAAAGTGCACCTCAAACGGCCAGGCCACGAGCCCCTTTGTTCACTCATAGTATAGGACTCACCACCATTTGTCTTCTCCCTTGCACTATGATTTCAGATCCCGCGTGGTGGGCTCACTCCGTCTTCCCTCACCCCGCCTGGCTGTGGTGAGGAGAAACAAGCCACGGAAGCAACCAATCATGGATTCGGTTCTATCCAGTGTGAGGATGTGTATCTGGTGGGTGAGGTTGCATATTTCATGCCACGCTGAGCTGAGATCTTTGACTCGTCGTCATTCCTGGTCCGCATCCTCGTGCAGCCTTGTATCTTGCTCCCTTCCTACTCTTGGGATCCCTTCTGGCCTATCCCTCACTGCCGCGTTTTGCAACCCTCACCTACCTACTTGCATTGATGTAAAGGTGTGATGGGAGCGTCAAATTCTGCTTATACAATGAAGGTTTTTTTTGTTTGGAGAAACTTCAACAGATAAGACCCCTTTGTCTTTGCTTGCTACTTTTATTTTTCTCTCACCTCCTTTCTCTTGCACGACGATTCCCTTCTCAGAAGCCATTTTCTGATACCATCGCTGTTCCTGGGACCTTCTGGCTGCTCTGCTCGTTCAGCTCGCTTCATGTGGCTGATGTACAACATCACCTTTGTACCAGCCACTCTGTGTACCTCTCCAACCTGATCATCTCCTCCCTTGCCTGACTCCTCTGGTTCCTCTCTCTGATTCGCTCGCTGTTCTTGAGGTTCCTTTTCACTCTGTCAGCAACTTTCCCATCCCCTTGTTTGTGTCCTTCACGGCTCGTGAGTCGGAATGAACCATGAAGGAGCATAGGGTTCATTCCGACTCGTGTGTGACTTCACACTACTACCCTATGCAGTCCTTTCCTCCTCATGGGTCGCCTTCACTCTTCGTATTCATTTCTGCATGCGTGTGTGTATGAATGTTCTACAATATAAAAACTCACCCATGCGGTCTCAGCCTTTATGGCTACCTTCTACTGGCGCCTACAGGAATACATGGGAGAGAAAACACCTCCTTCACCTGTAACGGATGGGTATGTAGGGAAAAAAAGAAGATATGCAGTGTAGTAGGATATATAATGCTTTTGAAGGAATGAATGGGCAGAAGTTTGGGAGGGTTCCCAATCTCAGAACTCGAGGATAGAGTGCGTGGGTGGGAGATCCATGGTGGTTGTACATGCGTGGTGTGCATCACAACCTTACAGCCATCCTCGCACCAAGATTCTGTTCTGGGAACTGAAGAACAAATACAGTTTAGCATAAACTGCAACAGCCCCGTTAGGGTGACAGCCTTAACAGAGCGAGGTTTCGATCCTCGGACCTGTGGGTTATGAGCCCACCACGCTTCCGCTGCGCCACTCTGATGCCTCCTGACACTCCTTTTTTTTTGTATAGTCCCTTTTTCAAGTTCTACTCTCCTTGCTCCTCTTCTACTCTCCTTGCTCCTCTTCTACTCTCCTTGCTCCTCTTCTACTCTCCTTGCTCCTCTTCTACTCTCCTTGCTCCTCTTCTACTCTCCTTGCTCCTCTTCTACTCTCCTTGCTCCTCTTCTACTCTCCTTGCTCCTCTTCTACTCTCCTTGCTCCTCTTCTACTCTCCTTGCTCCTCTTATACTCTCCTTGCTCCTCTTCTACTCTCCTTGCTCCTCTTCTACTCTCCTTGCTCCTCTTTTACTCTCCTTGCTCCTCTTCTACTCTCCTTGCTCCTCTTCTACTCTTCTTGCTCCTCTTCTACTCTCCTTGCTCCTCTTCTACTCTCCTTGCTCCTATTCTACTGTCGTTTCTCCTCTTCTACTCTCCTTGCTCCTCTTCTACTCTCCTTGCTCCTCTTCTACTCTCATTGCTCCTCTTCTACTCTCATTGCTCCACTTCTACTCTCCTTGCTCCTCTTCTACTCTCATTGCTCCTCTTCTACTCTCATTGCTCCTCTTCTACTCTCATTGCTCCTCTTCTACTCTCCTTACTCCTCTTCTAATCTCCTTGCTCCTCCAGGGATTTCTCTTGTTCCAATGCGGTCTGGCTTCATGCCAAATGCATGAGTGTGCTTGATCCATACTTGTCCCCCCTCCCCCTTCTCCCCGTTTTTCCCCCCGCCAGGTGTGTGAGAGCCGCATACCAGCAGTAGCAGACCGCGTGGTGCTGCGCAAGCTGGCCCAGGACATGTGTGAGTGGTCGCGCCTGCTGGTGAGTGAGGAGAAGAGAGGGGGGGAAGAGGAGAGGAGGGGATTTGGGGATGAGCGGTGAGGGGTGATGGCGCAGGGCATGCACGAGTGGCTGCGCCCATGGGTGAGGGGGACGATGGGATAAGGGGGATGTGGGAGGCTCAAGAGGAGATAGGGGGGTTGAAGGGAGATGAGGGTAGGTGAAGGCTCGGACAAAAAGGGTGAGGTATGTGACGCAAAGATTGGTTATTTTTTCAAGCCACAATGCCCATTTTTTCTCTGCACCCATCTCCCCACCACCCTCCCTCACCCCTCTTCCCCAACCCTCTTCCCCACCCCTCTCCCTCACCCCTCTCCCCCAACCCTCTCCCCCACACCTCTCCCCCATCTCTCTCCCCCACCCGCTTGCCCCAACGGCCTCTACCCACCCGTCTCCCCTCCCTGCTTTCCCGCACCTCTCCCCCACTCTCCGCACGCCCCACCCTTACCCCTCTCTGCCACGCCTCTCTCCCAACACTTCCCTAAACCTCTTTCCCAAGCCTCTCCCCCAAACCTCTCGCCCAACCCGCTCCCCAACCCCTTTTCCCCCACGCCTCCCGCCTGTGCCTCCCCTCCACGCCTCCTTCCAACACCTCCCCCTCTCACGCCTTGGCCACACGCCTCTCCCCCACCGTCTTCCTCCCCCATGCCCTGATCCTGCCAGGAGGAGTCAGCTGGCGAGGAGGCAGTGGGATCCAGTGGCTAGCGCAAGTCAATGTACGCGCAGATCACGGGCATAGGGCCATGGGCCACAGGTCAACAGGGCTGGACTATACCACCCACCCAGCAAGAGCTTGCTGACGAGACCGCAGCAGAGCAGAGCACATCATGCGCCCTAGGTGTGCGCGTACTTTGCGTGCTGTTCCCTGGCAGTGAGGCCCTCGTAGCGGAACACAACTGGCCTGCGATGGACCTTGGTGTCGCCCGACTGCTCTCCAGCAGTGACCCCATCGTCGTGGGATTGGTCGAGATAACGACTAGGACAACACTCAAGCAACGATGCATGATGGTCCGCCCTACACTTCTTGCTTTCCCCATGCTCTTTGCTTCTCCCTTCCTCCTCCCCCATCGCACCCACCCCCACCCCATCCCCTCGAAGCCTCACCCCACCTGCACATTCCCCACCTGCACCTCTTCCACGGCCCTGCCACTCGTTTCCTGTCTTTCATGCCCTCTTGTGGGTGCGTTGTAAGAAGAGGGGGGGAGTGGGGTGAAGACAAGGCAGTGCCGGTGAGATGGCGGATAAGGGAGCGTGTGTGGTGGGGAATAGGAAAATGGTGGGAGGAAAGGGGGGCGGGAGATGGGGGGGGTAATTACTGTGTGTAGCTGTCCATCTGTCCTACTTCCTTTCCCGCCCTCTATGCTGCCATGGTGGTGAGGTGAGTAAGGGGGTGGATGGTGGACGCTGGATGGTGGATGGTGGATTGTGCGTGGTGGATGGTGGATGGTGCGTGGTGGATTGTGGGAGGTGGATGGTGGGCTGTTAACAGCATTGCCCCGAGTGGGTTGTTAAACTCCAACTGGTCCTGTTGGGGTGGGCAAAAGACTAAGATGGCCACCCTTGTAACAGAGAACTGTGGTCTAAAAACAATGGATTGGCTCTGCTGTACTAGATGAATTTCCAGGCAGTGCGCTCTGCCAGTTATCAGCCTGCATCTTTGTCGCCTTCCCTCCCTTTCTTTTCCTTCCCTTTCCTACTTTCCCTTCCCTATCTTCCTTTCCCTGCTTTCTCTTCCCTCCCTGGCCTTCCCTACCTTCCCCTCCCTCCTTCCCTTCCCTGCGTTCCCTACCTTCCCCACCTTACCTGCTCTCCCTCTTTGCAGGGCCTATTCAGCAGGCGCAAGGCCAAGATGACCACTATTATCACGTCTCCCTCTGGGCACTTGGCATTTTCTCTGGCAGGCAGTGTGCTCCGCCTCCTCTGAGCCTTCATCGTCCTCGCCCTCCGCAATAACGAGGAGCTCCCTTCAAGCGACGATGGGGATTTGTGATTGCCCCGATGCTGAAGAATGGAAGTCTGCTGCTTCTGCTCCCCAAGAGTGACAGCATGTTCACCCACACTGATTTCCGGGTGTCATACATCATTCCACTGCTTAACAGCAGTCTGCTGGTTCTTTGTGTCAGGTTTCGGAGTGTACATCATGTCCATCACGCATCACACAATTATTCGTTGGCACGAAATTTTCTAACCTTCTGCAACAACGGACTCACTTGACAATGACCTATACAACAATCTCAAATATCTTGCGAGTATACAGTACAAGCATACAGTATTTGCAGCCACAATACAATACTCTCCCAGAGCCAGGGCTGACGATATCAGGGTAATTACCCTGATTTCAGGGTGATTACAGGCTTCTGACTTGGTGGTCCCTGCTGTTGGGCTGAACGCCCTAGGATCTTTTAGTAGAGTTAAAGTCTTGGGTAAAAGATATAATAGCGGAAGCGTATTGATAAGAGTCTTTGAACCACCTTGCGCTAGTACGGTATGTGAGAGCAAAGTAAGTTGATTAATGCAAAGAGATACAGAAATATATATATGAGTACAGAGAATATGAAGAGACATAATAGTAACTGTTTTACTGTTGCGGTTCGATACAGTGCGACTCGGGCAACTGCTCAATGTCGAGTCAGTTGTGTGTCCTTGCTGTCGCGCTGCGTCAGGTCAAAGGTCGCTGACCTTTGACTTTCTCGTAACCTCCAGCGGTTACGTTAACCTCCGAGGGTTGACTCGCGGTGCTTTGATTTGAGCTGCTTCGCTTGTGTCTTGAGTTTTGACACGACAGAGGCGCTTAAACTATTTGTTCCCAACCCCTGCAAACACAGGTTTTGTATTTTGTGAACTCTGATCCAATCAGAGAAGCTACTTAACGGACTCAGAATTCTTGTAACTAGGCTCAGAGTAGTGTACTTGCGGAGTCTGTCTATGCAGGGTATGCGTTCCGTGGACCCTGAATGCGAGGGTATTGGGACGAAGTTTCCTAGAAGCTTCGTTTCGATAACCCCCTTGTGCGTAATCATTTCTTCGAGTGGCCCCATGTGAGGTACCCCCTTCACGCGCCCATGAGTGACGTAATTCCGACAAAGGAAAACACTGACGTGCTGTACATCACAGCTGGCAACAGCGCCAACGCAGCCAAATCAATGAGACGGTGCAGCCACGCGCACCGCATTGTGCACAGCATGTGTCTGCCATGGGCCAGAATGGCCTGTTGACAGCATGCGGGGGCAGCCAAGGAGTCCGTGAATGAATTCGGCCTTGAATGCAACGACGAATTCATCATGGAATGTTGCCATCAAGTCCGTGGAATCGCGGCGCGGTGGTTTCGTGCTCCCGCCATCTCCAACCTCCCCTTCCCTCCCCATACCAGCAGCCAACGTTCCTTTGTTCACTAGTGTGTTCTTTCCATTCCGTGCATTCATTGTCTCATTTTCCTCTCGTTCAGTTTAGCCACCAATGGAGGCCATGCCGACCGAGGAAGCTGCTCCGGACACTGGCCCCGATGAGCCGCCTGTAAAAGCGAAACCAACAGCGCCGTCCCACCCGGAGAAAGCTTCGGATGCTCCCCGCTCTGGGCTAGATTTTCTTAGATCTACGGCTGCTCCCGTCACACCTGAACCGCCTAGGTCTACCGTTTACGACTCTGCCCTTGTAGTAACCCCTACTCCTACTACTTCTCCTATTCCCGTCCCGTTCACTCTCCCCCCGGCTGTTGCTGGCTGCAGCAAAGATCCTCCACCGCCCTCGCCCAGTCTTACTCCAAGCACGGTGCGGGTGTCCGTTGGCCCGCCGTCGGCTACTTCCGCTCCCAAGCGTGCGCGATCTGGTAAGTGGGCGCAGAGTACTCTGCTGGTGGGAGGCCGCCGTATTCCACCGCCGGAAAAGCCCGATGAGCCTGCACAGAAAGAAGCTGAGCTGCCGGAAGAAGGTGACATCCCGGTGCGCGCGGATACCGGCTCGCCGGCACTCACCAAGACGCAGCTGCGAGAGCAGATGTACCTGGAGGCGAGTATTAATTACGAGACGAAGTGGGCTGGATACTTTTCTTGGCTTGTGTTTGGGAAAACCAAGGACGATTTCCCGTACGTGAAGTGCAGCATCTGCATGTCGTACGGTAAGGGGAACACGAGGTACGCCATGCAGGGAGACGACGGAGGCCGTGACTTGCAGACGCAGTCGTTCCGGGCGCACGAGCATACGGACGCACACATGGCGGCGGTGGACCGCCAGATGAAGATTGCGGTGGGAATCTGCAAGGGGCAGCAGGTGATTTTGGACTTCATCAACTCCGACGTCGAGGGCCGCCGCGCGATACGGCTGATGCGGCCGACTCAGTTCCTGTGCCAGTGCGACGGGCCGATTAGCATGTTTCCTAAGCTGATGCGGCATCTTGCGGAGCAGGACATGCTAGACATTCCCCGGCAGTCGTACGGCGTTTATCTCACGCGGGTAGTGACAGTTCAAATTGATTGCAAATTTAAACATGCACGCCAAACAACTAGCTTGACTATCGTGTACTGATAATTTCTCTGTCCTTTGTTGCAGCTACGGCTTCCAGCAGATGGTCCACAGCATGAGCACTTACCTCACCCGGGTGCAGATGGACCACGTCCTGGCATCACCGTTCCTGGGCATCCAGTGCGACGAGAGCACTGACCGCACGCGAGGGAAACACATGATTGTGTACCTTACATATATGAAGAGTCGCCAAGTTGCATGCGAGTTTTTCACTTTGCTGACGGTCGAACGGTGTGATGCAGGGTCCTTGTTTGAGGTGCTGCTGAACCATCTTTGCTCCGCTGCCGTCGATGTGTCCAAGATCGTTGGCATCAGCACGGACGGGGCGTCGGTCATGACCGGGAGAGAGAACGGATTGGTGGTGCGTCTTCGTGAACACGTCCCTCGTCTGTTCTCATGCCACTGCATCGCCCATCGGTATGTGAGTTGGTCTGTATTGTAGCATGGTGTCTACGCTGATTGGTTTACTAACAAACCATAATACTTGTTCCCTGCTTTACACAGTGAGGCGTTGGCTGTGAAGGACGCCGCTGATTCAAACCCGGATCTCGACATGGTCGACAAGGTGGTGCGCACTGTGGCGAATCTGCTCGGAAACTCCAGCATGTGGAGTCAGCCCTTCAAGTACCTGCAGCGTGTGATTTACAAGACCAACCTGGAAGTCCAAGGCATCCACACGGTCCGGTGGCTGTCTTGAGGAGATGCGGTGGCCAGGCTGTGCAAGGTCCTCGGCGCTTGCATCGTGCTGCTCTGGGAGCACAATCACAAGGCGTACGAGATTGTCACCTGCTACAAGTTTCAGTTCTGCTTGTTTTTCTTGGCCGACATCTTGGCGGACATGAACGACCTCAACCGCTGCTTCCAGAGACGAGAGGTGAGGTTGCATGTTTGTATGATGTTGCTACGTGAGGTTCGTAACTGCACTGTTGCTCATCCTTCTCCCTCGTGTCTACCCCTGCTTTGACACAGTTGGACGTGACTGAGATTGCGAAGATGATCGAGTCCACAACGAGTGACCTGGTGGAGCGCTACTTGATGCCAGAGAAAGCTTTCGGGGGCGAACGGAAGAGCTGGCTTGTGACCTTCCTCAAAGTCCACAAGAAGGGTGGAGGCAAGTAGGTCCGGGTGCGCGGCGTGGATGGTGCTGGACGCCCGATCAACCACCTGTACACCATGCATGAACGGAAGCTGAAGGGGCACAAACACGGAAGCACCTACACAGACTGCGTGAAGCTGTGCCGCAAATTTGCCCGTGACTGCGTGGACAACCTCACCAACCGACTGGATGACCTTGGGAAGCTGGGGCCAACGAAGCTGTTTCGGGCGGGCAAGTGGCCAAAGATCAAGGCCCAGCGAGAGAAGAAGTGTAAGGAGTGGCTGAACGGATGCAGGACGCTGTTCCGCAACAAGCTCCCGGGATTCGACCTCAAAGCAGCAGAGAGGGAGCTTCCAACCTTCTGCGCGATCATGGAGGCACACCATGAGATGGAGAGCTTCACCCAGGGCCTGTCCAGCTTCCTTGAGAGCGCAGACTCCGAGAGGTAGCCTATACTTTGCTAACATGGGTTTTACAATCTTGTTGCGCATCGCAAACTGTTTCCATTGTGTTGTGTGTACGAATGTGCCTGGCAAGAGATGGCCCAACCTCATCCTGCTGTGGCAGGCGCTGGCTGTGCTCCCCCTCTCCACCGTGGAGTGCGAGAGGGGGTTCTCTAGGCAGAACGTCATCAAGTCCTGGGTGCGAGGAGCGCTATGCAACGCGCGTCTGGGGGAGCTGATGCAGATATCGCTCCTCAAGTATGAGATCGACTGGCCGGAGGCACTGGAGGTGTGGAGGTCCCTGCGGACTAGGCGCCCTGCGAAGAGCTTGAAGCTGGCTGTTGTCAAATTGTAATGTTGTGTAGGCTGTAGTGGGGTAGCCTATATGGGGTACACATTTCTAGGGTTGCATATTTGTACCACTTTCATTCCTTAGTGCATTCATTTCTCGTTTCAACTTTCTCATGGTATCGAGCAGGCTCCCTCGTGGGAACTGTGCCTAGGGCCCACCACATCGATTTTTTTTTTTTCCTGCCCGGAGCGCGCTCCCCGAGTCGCGCTCCCCTCTCTGTCTTCGTCGAGCCGCCCTAGCGGCCACGTCGCGCCGCCTTAGCGGCCCCTGCTTCCTAGCCCTTGCGACCCCGTAGCCCCACCTACGGCCCCGGCCTCGTCGCCTTACCTGCGCCTCGGCCCCGTCGCCCCACCTGCGCCCTGGCCCCGTCACCCTACTTGCGCCCCGGCCCCGTCGCCCTACCTGCGACCCCGGCCCCGTCGCCCCACTGTGACCCTGGCCCCGCCGCCATCCCTGCGGCCCCGGCCCTAGCCCCGTCGCCCTACCTGCGCCCCGGCCCCGTCGCCCTACTTGCG